AAAAAAAAAAAAAGAAGAAGTCTGGAAAAGAGAAATTATATAAGGTCTTAGCATGTTCAACACAAGACTTCGCAAGAGCACGGATAAATGACATTCTCGTTTTTATAAACGTCTTGCCTCAGTTACTCATTTAGCATAACTGATGGAATAAGAACTAAAAACAGCAAATTTATAGCATTAGATAGATATTGGAGTGTTACCGATGTAACGTATGTACAGAACCGTACACCGAAACGAATATTTGCGATGCTTGCTGTTGTATGGGTAGTATCATTGCTTATATCTGTTGCACCAATATTTGGTTGGAAGGATAGCAATTTTCTTGACCGAGTCGAAAAACAACATGTTTGTTTAGTCAGCCAACAAATTAGTTTTCAGGTTTTAACATTTCAAAATTTTAGATTATATTCCTCATTTTTTTTTTTTTTGCTCAAAGTGGTAATCTAAGTTGGTTTTCGTTACGGTACCCATTTTTGTATTAGTCAAACGCTAACTCTGCAGTTGTTGTAGAGACCGCTATTATTGCGAGTGAAAGTTTTTCAATTTACAATATACAGAACTGACATTTTGGAAGTATATAACAGTATATATACTTTAGAATTTCATTTATAACTGCAAAAACCTCATCAAGCCTTATCGTTCTGAGCTTTTTTATCAGCAGCTCTCAACGTTTCTGACTCTAAGGAATGTGATAGTGAGTTGTAACTGGTTTTGTTCTAGAAAACACGAAGGTTTAATTTAACAGAGGTTGACTTCTCTTTTGGACAACTTGAAGTCTTGTCAAACTTCTGCAAAAAGATATTTATATTCAGCTCGATTTACATGGAGCAGCTATAACGCATAAACTTGGCTACTCAACATGTTTGTTTGGTTTTATGAACACATTGAAAACGAACTGCACATCTAGAAATCTGAGCAGCTAAGTTCTAAGTAAACCGCAGTAAAAATCCTGAAATTGATTATACTTTGAGAAACAGCAGAGCTTTTAACGGCTCTATAAACCGTAGAAAGATTTTAACATTTGTATTTACTTTTTTCTCAAAAAGTCGTTTTCTTTCGTACCATTGTCAGACGTTAATCGCGATTTATTCTCACATTACATGTCCTCAGTTATCACATTTCACGAGAACGATCAAATCTGGCTTTATGAAGCGAAACTGATTAGACTGCTGGAAGAAAAAGTAGTGTAATTTATTTGAGGGATATAATGGGTGAGAATGTCGTGTAAGCGTATTTTGCATTGATCAGCTTTTTTTTTTTTTTAACATCAAAAAGTTCAGTTTTCAACTGCAACGTTTAACCAGGAAATTGTGAACACCTTTAAAAAGAAGAGTGAAAAGTTTACAAGTTTGCTGTTATAGCAAATGTCTGAGAAGTTACTCAAAGACAGTTCTTAAGTAGATGACAAAGGGGATTACAATAATGAGTACTGCTTCACGGAAAAGTACTGCTGCTTTTAAAAACGAGAAAGCCTTAACAAGAGAATAGTTTTTTAAAAAATTATAAAGTGTAGTTCATTAGGAAGATTCTCGTTATGTATAGGCATCTCTTTTCCTGCACTTTACTGCTTCACCAATGTAAAATGGAATTTACCAACAAAAATAGACAACTCTTATCTTGATTTCATTTCTGTTTGCCTTTATTTAATGCCTTTTGAAATTTCCTTAAACGTTTGCTTCACCTCTATTTGTTGACCGCAAAGTATCAGAAGCTGGTCAAAATTTTATTTTTTACGAGGGTTTTTCAACCATAGTTTTGTATTAACTGCAATATACTCAGTGTCTAATTTTTTTCTTACAATTTTTAGTTTCATTTTTTGTTCAGGTTTGTGAAAAACCAAAACCAAACATAACTGTTTAAGAAAAAAAAGCAAAATACTTTAATTTTGAAAATTGGTGCTACTTCTCAAGCATTTACTTCTTCTAACAACATATTTGCTCTATTTAGATCAAATTTCTTTTTTGTACTAATGCTTATCATTAATACTTATGCATCTAATGCAAAATATAGGTTGTGCTGAGGTTAGCGCTCTATACTACTTAATGTAAATCTTACGCATCTGACTGACGGCTTTACTAATGAAAACCGGAAGTTTAACAAGTTTTGAAAGCAGACCAAATGAATCACGTAATAGAAATTGAAAAAGACCAATATCAAAAGAAATAAATCAATGCAATACTTTAGTTTTAAAAAATTAAGGGTTTTCTGTTCTAGTTTTTCTTATAAAATATTTTCGCATTATAGTCATTTTCAAATGTAAAATTTATGTTTAAATATGGCTAAAACAACTAACAAATCTTTTTATAACTGTTCTACGCTTTAGTTCAACTAAAGTTTTCCTGTTACAGTATACAGCATCATCAGTGGGTAAACCGAGTTCATTTATTGTTATGCGGTTGCATTTCTGGTCTTAGCTTTACTTTCTCAGTGCTTCAAAATTACAACAAATAACTTTTTAAGAGCTTACAGAATTTATTTTAGTTGCATAGTGTAAAACTGCTAAAACTATGTAAGGGTGCCCGTAAAAATTTAGGTTTTATTTTTTTCGCGCAATTATTTTTTTTTTTTTTCGTTTTACAAGTTGTATCAACACCAGAAAATCTACATGTTTTAGGAAATAAATGGTTTTTTTGTTTCAGGTTTTCAGTACTGCAACAGCATTTTACATTCCTTTATTTGTGATAATATTTATCTACTACAAGATAATGAGAGCAGCGAAGTTACGTTTCAAACGTGAAAGAGACCGGAAAACAATAAAAAGGATGGATAGCGATCAACTTATTGTAGGCCGAGAGAATGAGCATAAAGTCAGTCATTTTTCATGTTCTAACTGATTTTGGGTTTGGAAAGAAGACTCTTTTCTCTCTGCATTACATTAATAGATATAAATAATGGTAAACACAACAGATTTAGCCTATCTTTGCAGACTTTCTTTTTAATGATGCAATTTTATTATGAGAACATTGTCGACATACAATTTGCACTTTTTCTAGAATGAATAACTGGTATTAATAAACAGCCTCTTATGTCCAAATTGAATTTTGTAGACTAACTTTTTTGAATTACAATGATAGAACTCAAGTTTTAAAAAAAAAAACAGTATTCTAACTGCAGATATGAGTTGGCAGTAATAATTATCCTAATGCACTTGCAGAAATGCAATGGATATTCGCCAGATAATACAACAAGCGAAGAGGAAAGAACACCGATGGCATTGCAATGTGATGGTGATTATAGCGTTCAAGTAAAGGCAATGCATAAAAATATCACAGGCACAGTTCGTAAGTTTCCATATTAATTCTTAGCTTATACAAATATATATACATACGTGGATTATCAGCAAAAGTTATTACCGCGCCTAACAGCTTGTTTCACTTTTCAGATGTTGAAAAAAGTCGGCATAGTTCAGCTATTCTGACACGATTTCCAAGAATAAAGAGAAAATCAAAAGAAACTACAGAAATGAAACGTCAGCGGAAAGCTTGGCGCACATTAGCAATCATTACAGGAACGTTTGTAGCCTCATGGACACCGTTTTTTTTAGTTGCGGTTTATCGTCCAATATGTGGCTGTGAAGTTCCTGAATTAATTGAAAGGTTCACTAACTGGTTAGGTAAAACTGTCTTTTTTTTATCACTGCCACATAATACTTTCATAAGACTTTCATTTTGTTGGTGAAGGTGTATAACATCTAACCGATAATGATTTTGCTCCAGTTTTCTTATATGAAGAATATGTGCGAGGGTGGAAGGGTTATTCAAAATTGAAAGTTAACCAAATTAAGAAAATAACAGTTTCTACAAATAGCCAACGTAAAGTTACTTTAACCAACAAATTGAAAGTTAGTCAAAAGTAATTGGTTAAACAAATTAAACCAATATAAATGCTGTTTAGACAATCATTTACATTTTTTAATTCATGCCCGCCTAAGGTTTATTCGGCTTTATTGCAAAGATCTTTACGACAGAATATCGATAACAGCAGTTTACGTAACTGTTAGCAGATTTAATTCAAACAAGAAATTTTTGAGTAAAATTTCAACAAAACGACATGTACATGTAACATGCAAATATTTTTTTTTTCTCTTATAAAAATTCTAAAATCACTTGGACCGACATGAGTTTGCATTGAACTTTCCAATTCTGTATAGTAGTTTAGCCACAATGAAGAAATTAAAGTTGTTTATGGGCTTAAAGAAGACTCAAGAAGACAGTGTAAATGATTTATTTTAGCGGCTTTTCCAGAGTTCGAAAAATGTGTGAGGAAATTGTTTTGTTCAAGAACGCCTACTCATGTTTTATTTTTACAAAGTTTCGAAAAGTTTAAGTTAGATGCAGAACCTAATACCATCTTTAGCTTTTTAAGTTTTTTTTGCGCAAGTATTTTAGACAGGTAAATAAGATTTCAAGACCTTAATGAACGCCACACATTAAAAATTACACATATGCTTGTCTAACATTTACAGACAAGGAACAACAACGCGATATTACTGTGGAGTAAAGTAGATTGATAAAATAATCCGAAAAACTGTAAATAAATAGACAGGTGCTCTTACAACAGTACAATTTTACCAAACAGTTTTTGCAGGTTACCTGAATTCGGCGATCAATCCAGTAATATATACTATATTTTCTCTTGATTTTCGTAATGCATTCCATAAGCTGTTAAAGCGTATGTTCTTTATTGATGATAGACGTCAGACACTACACGATTTTACTATTTCGAGAAGGTCCTAAACTACGCTGCAGGCGGAACATTATACCGCGACAAAACTCACATCATTAATTGGAACGGGTGATATGCTTAAACAGCCAAGTAGCATTTTCCATATATTATTTTTCTTTTGATCTCGCAGTGACACTGACTAACTTAACAAAATTGTAGAACCCTGAGCACAATAAAAAGCGAACATTGTCTTCATTCTGTTTTGATGTAACTATTATTAACAGTAATAATAGATGTATGTTCAGAAGTAGGAACGCTTTTCCAGTCCCGGCAAAGCAACTCCTGCATCATTTTAACATTTATCATAAAATGATGAAGAAAAAGAAATGTGGTCATAAAAATGAATACAGTTTTTTTAGATTTGTTGAAATCAGTAAGAAAAAAGTTGATTTCTTTTACGGAAATCACTGTTTTTTTTTCTTCTGTCGTCTATGAACAGTGCAAATTCAACTGGTAGGTTGGTCGAATGTAACTTATTAGTTTACTGTAAACATTATTGAACGGGTATTCTCTTTTTCTCAGTAGATTCTATTGTTTTTCCTCATAAAAACACTGATTCGATGTGTATCCTATGTCTCTTTGTTAGAAACGTCTAATGTGTATGCTATAAGCTAAAGCTAATGAAGATTTAACAGCATCATTTCCTTTTGATTTTTGTATGCATTAATAACAGTGACGCTTTTGACATATCCCGTTAAATGAAATATGATGTGTTTACTCATTCATTTGGACTGGGATATGCGTTTAAAGGAAAGAAAACCACACCGAACTGCTTTTAACTGACTTTTTCACAAGTTGTATAGGAGTCTTTTCTCTTTTTCACAAATGAATTTTGATTCATGAAGGAAAAACGAGAAAAATGGCTATATTTCTGAGAATAAAACACACATTTAACGATTCAAAGTGGATTGAAATAGGAATAAGAAATGACGAGAGCGACGAGGCGCAGCCAATATGACAAATATAATGCATATAATTTTCAGTACTCAATACTTGAACAGCACAACTTCGGTCAATCAAATTTAATAAATAAATCAATTAAATTACATGCGGACAAAGTGCTGATAAACACTTCTTGTGACCAAACCTAGAGCAGTTGGCTGCTTGAGGTGATAGGTTAAGTAATATTGATAAGCACTCCCCATAGCCCTCCAAAATAATTGATTGGAAATAATGAAACTCTGTACAATTCTGCCAATGCGAAAAATGATAACAAGTGGAAGAATTCTTTTAAGCCTTCCCATTTTTAAAAGCCTATTTACCACAATTTTTCCAAGTAACGATACTTTTCATGCTAATTATATTACAATATAACAGTTTTTAATGCTTTTTTTTTTCTTTCAAGTTGCTTTTTTGCTGAGGTTTTTAAGTAGTATTTTTGCCAGATAAATCTTCTGTACATAGGTATTACTACAGAATACCGCAGTGAAGTATGAGTAACAACCTGTTAAGTACAATATGTAATTAACGAAGAGATTTTTAAACGTAAAGCAGCAAGATAAAACTGCTTTTCTCACAGTTTGTCCCTCATTTCATGAGCGTTTCTGCAATGCTCTCAGACATGTGATAAAAGAAGTAATAAAAGAAATTCTTGCTTCAGCTAAGGGAGGCATAAACTCCGGACCAAGGTTCTATCAGCAAAACTGCTTTACGATATCGAAAACAACTTTATATTTGTCAAGTGTATCTCAGTCAGAGACAGACGTTTGTTAATCTGTTAGAGAGTGGGTCGATCCCAGAAGGCGTGAAACATTCAGAATACTAAAAGATGGGAAATAAGAAGCAAGCCTACAAAATACTCATGAAACGAAAGTCAAAAGCTATCCTCTAACTATTATAACAAAAAAATCAGACAAAAAGAGAAAAAAATTGAAAAAAAGAATTATAATACGCTTTTTAAGCACCGCTGTTTCAATTGAAATTGCATGTACCGACAAAAACATTAAATAAAAAACATAAAAAACAGTATCTTAGTTACTAACGACAGCAGAGACAAATTGAAGGATTTGACGGTAAGGAAGGGTGTGCTTTTGCCTGTGCGCTCTTCCAAGATAGACTGAAAGGAATACCCTGCAGAACTTACTTGAAACAAACATTTGGAGCACAATGTTGTAAAGCTACTGATGAAGAGGAAGCAGAAGCCTACAGAACTTGTGAAAATAGTTCTAGCATGAAAGAAGGTATCTATCTTACCATTTTCGGAACTGCAAGTTAGTTCTTCACAGCTTCCTTGTGTTCAAAAAACCTTAGTTTTTTTTTTTGATCAGACTACGTTAATGATTTCACTATAAGAATTTTTTGTTGAAAGACTATAGTGTGATCTCTACTGCAAAAAACAACTTGTGGTTATACAATTGCAAAAAACTTGGAAATCAAGGCATACTAAGCGTAAAAATCTTAATCGGTTCTTAGCTCTCAACACTTAAATTATAGGCTTTTCTCAAGTAATTTAAAATGGTAGACCCTGAAATTTACGAGGTACAGTTGAAGGACTGAAGTCTGAAGAGAAAAAACTGAAGAGATTAGAAGGATCTCAGCATCTATTGCATCAAAGATTGACTGGTTTTAGAAGCCAGAAAAGACAATGTTGACGATTTCACAAATGTAGGCGGCCGAGATAATACTGGGTTAACTAGGAAGCAGCGAAGAAGCGATTTATCTGCAGGTGACTCTGAAAGTAATGAATTTTTCTCTGCAAAAGAGTTTAAAATGAGCTCCAGATGACGAAGAAAGGTTGTCAAAAAATTACAAAAGTATCTTGCATTGAGCGAATGTTCAAAATGTTCAATTACAATTGTAAAAAAAAAGTTAAAAAATAGTCAATTGTCTTCCTAATCAGCCGATTGTCATGTAAAATATTCCCACAAAAATGGTATCTGATACGCCTCTAGACACGAAAACCGACAGCTGCTAGATTCAACCGTTATAGTGATGTACTTTTGCCAGATTTTTACAGCGCATTGATGCAGTGGCACCATAATGGTTCTATAGTGTCGATAGATAAAGAGAAATATTCTTGCAACTATATCTCAGAATATTCATGCTCAAGGAGCAAACACAAATGTAGAAATCAAGTAAAACAAACATATCATCCAGCTGACTTTTGCAAAGGTCTTAGTTGTTTTGACTAAAGAACTGGATAAATGGCTGTCTCAGTCAAAAAATGAATACGATGTACCACGTTCTGATAAAAGCTTAGTTGTAAATTAAGAAAAACTTAAATATGTTCAAATTCCAGATTTCGTACCCCGTGTTGAGCCAATACTGATAAAGCAGAAAAACTTTTAATTCTTATCAGTAACTGAGTCAGTATGTTATAGTAATCAATAGTGCAGTCTTTTGGTCATTTCAGTTTAAATTTTTTATATTTTTAGCACTTTTCAAATTTTGCAACCATCAGACACTAAAAATGAAGCTAATCAAGGACTTATTAGACCAAATCGAGAAAGATAAAGATAGAAAAGACAAAAAATTTTTTTAAACTCAGAAACTTTCGGAAGTTTAACAAAAAATGCAAATATAAGCAGACATTTGGAAAGATATCTGTTGGGATACAAGCTATGTCATTCAAAAGCCGAAAAAACATTGAACTTTAAAGCTACATCTAACATAACATGTATTGAAATTATTCGTGCATTTGTCAACCAAACCAAAAAATAAGCTTAACAGTATTGGAGAGTTTAACCACGAATGCAGAAGAAAAGCTCTATATAATTAACAGTCTGCTGCTTCTCCTTAAAACAGGGTTCTCATAACCAAAAAATTAAATGCAAATAAACATAGTACTGACTAAACTTTGCTATTAAACGCTTCTAAACATAGTAATGAAGGTGGTTGCGGCATCAAAGTAGAGTGTTCAAAATAATAGCCAAAAAATACAACATTACATTTTTGGTTTCCAAAAGGTTTAATTCCAGAAATTCACATGCCGACTGTTGCCGAAACGGCAGAAAGTCCAGGCACGAAAAGTCGCAGTAATAAAATGCGGTTGAGAGGGAGACGACGTTTGACAGAAGTCATTGGCGTCACTGCTAGAGGCTTAAGAATTAATTATTACACAGCATTAGATGTATATTAAACTTTAAAAACAATTTTTAGCTGAATCCATAAATGCTAAAGAAATAAAAGAAAGAAACAAATTATTTGGCTGTTGGAATTACGAGATCACAATCCGCTGTACGGGCACAGAGCATAACCACTAGAAGGACCCTGATACCAAGCTGGTTTTTTCATCCAGAGGACGCTTAGCCAAATTTCATACAAGCACTTCCACAGATAAAGCTAGGTTATTTTTGCTCTACTTCTTTTAATATCCTCGGCAAACCTGTTTGATTCTTGCGTTTATTATATAAATGAATGCTATTGTCTCGTAATTTTTGGTTGTAGTAAGTAATTATTGTTTGTACATAAGTGAACTATTATTGTAAAGGGTTTAATTACAAAAATGTAACATTCAATGTAATAAAGTGCTGTGAGTACATTAGTTCCGCGTAATAGGCAAAAAATCATACTCATATGCTTCACTAACAGTGGAGTTTCTGAGAGTACTCAAGAGAAAAGAAAGTTCAACAAAGACGACAATATAAATTAGTCTCTTTTCTTTACACTGATTAGGATCAGCATAAAATTAGACTTGATTTATGTATCAAGAAATCCCGTGCCGACTGTACTCTTTTAAAAAAATTTAAAGAAAAACATTGTGCGTAAAATTTATGTTCTTAAAAAATTTGGCATTTTTTGTCAAAAATTTTGAGAAGCACATTGTTTTGGCAAAGTTGAAGCAAATAGCCTTTTAAAAATATGTAATTACTTGCACGTCGGGTTTTAAGATTTCACCTGTAAATCCGCTATCAGAACCTTCCTCTGTCATAACGTTTAGCAGTTTCAACACTTGAAAATTCATTGATAAACGGGGTCTCTCTACTTATTCTTTTTCATCCTGACAACAGTTCTCGCAAATAAAGCGCTAGCTAAGGTAGTATTTATAATTTATATAAGTAAACTTAAAATC